GAGAAATACCTTTGCTAAAACATTCAAAAAAGATATGCAAGCTAAAAGCCAAAGTTTGCAGAACACTAGCTAAAAGTTATAAGTTGCAAAAAGAATGCTAAAAAATACTAAAAAGTAAAAGTTGTATGATGGTAGTTACAAATTAAAAGCATCAAAAGTAGTCATAACACAGATCAAACTTGCTGAAGCTGATTTTTGAAGATGGTGTATAAATGGCTTTAATAGCACAATGCAGATTGAAAAACATATATATAATATTTATTAAAATAATTAAATTAAATTAAAACAGAAACAAATCGTGCCAAATCAGAATTCACACAATAATTAGCTACAAACCCGTTCAGTTTTATATTTGACATTACAATTGAACATGCTGAACAGCATATGTACTTGATTGACTATATAAAATGTGTTTGCAGCTGTGGAAATACATGAACTCGCTGCATGTTTTGGTACCTCTCTGGTGTTGTGTAAGACCTTGGCTTCGATATCATATCGCTCTTCATCCACCACGTCTAACTTGGCATGCAGCTCTTCACACAGTGCCTAAAGAAGAAACAAAACCAAAACAAAGTAAGTTGCACTAAAACACCTGCATTAGGTGATGAASGTAAAGCTCTACCTTCAGCTCTGTTGCTGACATGCCACTGATCTGAATCGGAGGAACTTTTTCTTCCAGGTATTTTTCTTTCTGCTCCTCTTTTTCCACCAACTCCTGCTCCAGCTCCTCTTTGGCCTTTGCAACCATCAAGCTCTTGGAAAAAAAAATAGCAAAAAATAAAACAGAAACAAAAGATTTTAAATGTTGGAAACATTAACTAAATTAGCTAACGTGTTCAGGACTCACCTTTAGCATGAGCTTACGAGAAGCTGAGATTTTAGATTTCCTCTGCAAACACAAGAACACATAAGTGTTTGACGGAGTAATTTTAGAACTGTGTTACTAAATAAATGAACAAAGGGCTTGCCATACAAACACCTTGTAAAAACTTACCTCAGGCCTGTCAAAAGAAAGGGGAAAAAATCACTGATTTGTGTTTTGCTTTCAGTTTGAATTTAAAGAAATAAATCACTCAGATTCCCTGTATGAGACTAAAACTATAATCTGAAAAATAAAAGACAAAAACAACACACTTACGGCTTGTCAGGCATCTTGACAATTTTAATGAAGCCTGTGGGACAAAAATAGAATTGTGCTCTCATGAAGTGGTTAACAGACCCCACAGGTCTTAATGCTGATTCCATTAGATCTCCAGTTTTAATCCATTTAACCACAAACACATCCAGATACAAAATATATGTTATATTGATCTCTAAGAC